CTGTGACCATTTCCAGCTTCTCTTTATCTCTTAGAAATTAACAGAACATTTTTGCTCCCATGTCTTTAAGACCAATATGTACAATCCCAATTCCAAAAAAGCTGGGACAGTAGGAAAAATGCAAATACAACAGAAAGAAGTGATTTCTAAATCTACTTTGATCTGTATTTGAAAAAAAAAACAAAAAAAAAAACAAAACAAATTGATGTCTGCAATATTTCAAAAATGTTGATATGGTCAATGTAAGACTAGGAAAGTATGTAAATGTAAAAAATAAAAAAAGAAAACAACATTTTGAACAGGTGATGCAATAATGCATGGGTATAAAGGTAAATGTCAAAGAAAGGCCTAGTGGTTTATGAGCAAAGAAGGGTAGAGCCTGGCATTGTGAAAAAAAAACAACAGCAAATAATGCAGCAGTGCAAGAACAATGTTCCTCAATGAGAGACTGCAAGCATTTTAGCTATTTCACCCTCCATGCATAATATCATCAAATTATTCATGGGCATCCTGTGTATAAATGCTGAAAACCACGACTGAATGTCCATGACCTTTAATTCCTCTGATAGCAGAGCATTATAAACCAGCATGCTGCTGTGATGGATATCACTGCATGGGCTCAGGAATACTCTGACAAACTGTTGTCAATAAACACTGTTTGGCATTCCATCCACAAATGCAAGTTAAGACTGTACTTTGCACTGTGGAAGCCATAAGTCAACAACATCCCAAAATGCTGCTGACTTCTTCAGGGTATGTCATGGTATGGGGTGTATTAGTGGGCAGTTTGCACATCTGTGAAAAGACCATTAATGTTCAAAGACATACACATTTTGAAGCAGCCATCTAGATGATGTCTTTTTCAGGGATGTGCATGCTTATTTCAACATGACAACGACAAGAAACAATACGAACATGTTATAACAGCATGACTGCATGCAGATGCTACAATGACCTGTCTTTCTCCCACTGAAAATGTTTGGTGCATTACAAAGCACAAAATATGGTAATAAAAGCCCCATATAGTTGTGCTGCTGAAGGCTTATAACTAAAGAATGGCAGAAAATTCTACTTTTAAAACTGGATCAATTGGTGCTTTCAATCCCAAAATGATTATTAAATTGTGTTAACATAGTGGTGATGAAACAGAGTGGTAAACATGCTCCTGTTCCAACCTTTTTGGAACATGTTGCAGCATTAATTGTGTTGCAGGCATTAAATTTGCAACAAGTGTACAATTACAAAAAACAATAAGCTCATAGAGTATTCAGTTTTTCTAACTGGCTGCCTGAAATAGGCGGATATATGTGAATGCATGAAGCTCACAAAAATCTGGAAACTTAAAACGTCATGTCTTTACACAGATTATATGGACTATAAGAAAATTAAATTTACATGAAAGGGCCTTTTCATAGGATACCTTGTTAGCTATGTTAGCCCTTTAGCAAACTCTGATAATCTAGTAAGCTTGCATCAATAAATTCTGGGTTTTTTGGCAAAAGCGAAGTGTTAACTTTGTCTAACAATTAGCTTGTCTAACAATTGGATAAATTTAATGGATATAATGGACATAATGAACACATTTATATTTATAATTTATATTTATAATGAACACAATTTTTGTAATTATATCCCTATATGATTAATTGCAACTTTGTGGCTATGCCACTGGGACGCCATCCTTGCTGGTTCTGCTTGATCTTAGTGTGGCATTTGATATGATAGACCACTCTTTCTTACCACACAGACTAGATAACCTATATAATAGGAATAGCTCTTTCCTGGTTCAGCTCTTACCTGACTGATTGACCTGAAGTTTGTGAATGTAAACGGCAAATCCTCTGTTCATAAAAAAGTAAAGTATGGTTTCACAAGGCTCTGTATTAGGACCTTTATTATTTGCATCACATATGCTACCACTGGGTACTGCTATGAGTAAACACAACATCAATTTTACAGTTGCATCAGCTACATCTGTGAAACAACACTGGTGTCAATTCTGATCTGTCCTTCGATGCACACATAATAAATACTACTAGAATAACTTTCCTACATTTCCACAATATTGCCAAATTAACAAATGCACTGTCTCTACAGGATGCAGAAAAGTTAGTTCATGCATTTATTACTTCAAGGCTGGATTACTGTAATGCCCTGCTGTCTGGATGTTCCAGCAAAAGCCTTAACAAGCTTCAGTTAGTCTAGAATGCTGAAACCAGAAAGCTGAGTCCTTATAAGAACTAGAAAGTTTACCATATTAGCCCAGTATTAACAAATCTACGTTGATTGCCAGTTAAATTCCATATTGAGTGCAAAACGTTTTACTGATATATAAGGTTCAAAATGGCCTTGTCTTTCAGTACCTGAGTGAACTTCTCTTACTATGAACCATCATGCCTGCTTAGATCACAAGGTGCTGGCTTACGATTATTGCCTAGAATTAATAAAGTTACATCAGGGGGTAGAGCCTTTTCATACAAAGCCCCCAGCTTTGGAATAACCTTCCAGTCAGTGTTTGGGACCTACTTGTTTAATCAAGCCTTTGGTAATTATTTTTTTCCCACTAGATAAAGTGTGCAGACCTGGGGGTTCATGAACATACAGTGTTATGGTAAACTGAGAGTGTTAGTGCTATCGTCCCGCTAGTCTCACACATTCACTCCAGTTTGTTGACAGTGGAGTGGAGGGGCACAAGAACTGAACATCTGCCAATCCTTGCGTTTTGATGCTATTCTTCATCTGCCTTGATCGGGTGCCCCTTGCTCAACACTTTCTGGACCAGTCTGACCACCATGGAGCTTTGTGCTGTCCAAAGCTGTGCACAAAGCCTCACCTGCATGCCACTGACACTACTGATGATACTGCTGCATGCACAGACTCAAATTATTTATTGATAGACATCGCTTCCCCTGCCTCACAATACTCTGAGTGCTTCCCATATTCATATTAACAGATCAACATCTGACAGCGGTCTTCTAACAGTAGTCATTGAACTTGATATCCAGCAGCAGTTACTTGTTTTCACTGGTAACAGTGACTGTTTTTTTGCACATCTGTTTCTCATTGGTAATCCTCTACAATAGTCATCAATTATTACTGCTTAACCTAAATATTTATGTCCAATAAAAGGCAGTTTTCTTTTTACCTTTTCTCTGTTTTTGATATTTTATATTACTGGTTAAACCTTACTCTCTGTTCATTTTGCTCACATTTTTGTTTTGCTAGCGACCAGAAGAAGATGGGTTCCCCTTTTGAGTCTTGGTTCCTCTCAAGGTCTCTTCCTCTAGCTTTTAGGGAATTTTTCCTTGCCACTGTTGCTGTTGGCTTGCTCATGGAAGCTTGCACCCAGATTTTTCTGTAAAGCTGCTTTGTAACAACACCTGTTGATCCATATTCTTATTTGTGACACTGGCTTACATTTTTTTTCACACTAGACAAAAGAACTGAAACACTGAATTGAACTATTTGTCTTCTTCACTTGGCATAAGAATTTATTTTATAACAATACATGTTCTATTTTTTTCTCACTCATTATTTGAAAAGTCTGCTTTATGGTGATCAAGTGGGCAAGTAAGAGTGAGGGCGTGGCAGCATGGCTGCTCTATGGGCAGACAGTGTTTTGATCAACACAAGCTGGGTGAGCAGTGTAAACTGTGAATGTAGCTGTACATTTATCTTATGAGCCACAATTTGTGATAATATAAATTATGCAGTCCTTTATGTAAAGCAGAGCCCAGTCAAGATGCTGCTCTGATGGTCTCACAAAATTGAATAGTGCAACTTAGGCTACCACAGTCATTAGAGAATAGACGAGGAAACTATGTTTTCTGTGAAAAATAAGCCATGAAAATCTCCACTGCTCTAGAGTCCAGTGGCAGCCCTTTACACCACTGCATTCGACGCTTTGCATTGCGCTTGGTGATGTAAGGCTAGGATGCAGCTGCTCGGCCATGGAAACTCATTCCATGAAGGTCTCTACACTGTTCTTGAAGGCCACAAGAAGTTTGGAGGTCTGATTTCTGCAATCACTCTGCAGAAAGTTGGCAACCTCTGCGCACTATGCGCCTCAGCATCTGCTGCCCCCGGTCTGTCATTTTACCTGGCCTACCACTTCGTGGCTGAGTTGCTTTTATTCCCAATCACTTCCACTTTGTTAGAATACCACTGACAGTTGACTGTGGAATATTTAGTAGCGAGGAAATGTCACGACTGGACTTTGCATCCTATCACGGTACCACACTGGAATTCACTGAGCTCCTGAGAGCGACCCATTCTTTCACAAATGTTTGTAGAGGCAGTCTGCATGCCTAGGTGCTTGGTTTTATACACCTGTGGCCATGGAAGTGATTGGAACACCTGAATTCAATGATTTGGATGGGTGAGTGAATACTTTTGGAAATATAGTGTATGTGTGAATGGCCAGTGCATGCAAGCTGTATCAGTCATGCTGCCAGGTTGCTTATACCATGCAGAGGTAGCATGTGTGAATCAGGCATGAGGAGATTGATTAAAAGTGCATGACTTATTTTCAGATTTATTACTAACAGTATTATTAGTAGGCTGACACTTACCCCCAAAATAGGCTATATATCATAATTTATTGGGAGAAACCAAGCAATTCTATGTAAATCAGATATTCAGCACCCATACATAGCCAGAATGGAATGAATCTTTGTTTCTTAACCACATTTTTGGACGACTCAACTGTGCAACTGGCAATTGAATCAGGCTCCTTAGATCGACTTGTTAAATAGTCAACTATTTGGGATCACCCCTACTGCATTTCCTCTACCAACAACATTAAAATACCAATGTTTCCTGCTATGACTGTAGCCAATTCAACAGGGACATAACAGTTTCCTTATTATGCATGGACACAATATTTGTTACATGCAGTAATGAACTGAAAGAAGCTCACCTGAGAATCTCCAGTTTACAGTGTGAATTCTTCAGTCCAGCAGAGAGCAGCTCCACTCCTGAATCATGCAGGTCATTGTTACTGAGGTCCAGCTCTTTCAGTGGTGAATCTGAATTCAACATTGATGCCAGTATTTCACAGATGTCTTCACTAAGGTTGCAATGATCCAACCTTGACATTAAATAACATAATGTCAATTTAGAAGCACAAAATACAGTAAACCCTAAACCTATAGGGTACACTCAAGTACATTCATACTTATCTGTCTGCAGTTCTCACTGCCAATTATAGCTCAATATGCATACAAGCTAAATGTATATGGAAGCCGGTTGCTGACTTGCAACATATGGTTACAAAAGGCTGAAGTTGGCTTGCTATTCACCAGTTTCTTATTTGAACTTTTCATTCCATCTTAAGTTGTGCAGCAGTTACATTCTGGCATCTATTCTGCCTGCTGCATGATTGAATCCAAAATACACTGCAATTATTGTTGAAATACATTCCTAACATGAAAATGTATTTCAGAATGTATTGCCATATTAACAAAATACATTTTTAAATACATTTTTTAAATGTATGGGGAAATATTACATCTAGAAATGTACCATATAATATGTGTTTACATGTATTTATCAAATACATTTGAAAACAACTGAAAATAGTCAAATTGTCAAAATAGCTCTAGAGTCCAGTGGCGGTGCTTTACACCACTGCATTCGACACTTTGCATTGTGCTTGGTGATGTAAGGCTTGGATCTAGCTGCTCGGCCATGGAAACCCATTCCATGAAGGTCTCTACGCTGTTCTTGAGCTAATCTGAAGGCCACATGAAGTTTGGAGGTCTGATTTCTGCAATTGACTCTGCAGAAAGTTGGCGACCTCTGCGCACTATGCACCTCAGCATCTGCTGACCCTGCTCCATCATTTTACGTTACTTCATCACGGTACTTCATCAAAAGTAGTCACTCCTGGTTAAATGAATTCCGTACATAATCTGACATCTAACATTGAATGAAAGTCTGACACCTGACAGAAAATAAAGCCTTAAAAAAGGAACAAAACCCAGAAGAATCCTGCTGCCAGGGGTTGTTTATGTTGCCACGGTTACAGTCATTGTGCAGCCTCACACACATACACAGACCTGATCAAGCGGAGAAGTGGAGTTTTTATATAAATTACCTCAATTAATTATTTTTTTCAAATTCTGACGTTGATTGATGGTCATCAAGCCACATATTTTTAGGATTATTGAAAAAGCTTTGATATTTTATCACATTTTACTGATGAGCTATATATGATAATTGGTTGAATATAGTGTTCAAATATTACGTTGTAGAATCCGGTCTGTTTCTGGTTTGTGCAGGAAAAGTGGACCTGAATATACCTTTAATTTCTATAAGTAAAAACAGATATGCATACAGAATATTACAAAATTAGAATAACTTTTTCTATAATAGTATTTTCATATACTGAAAAAACTGATGAAACTGAAACTGATCCAGAAGTGCCCTTTTAAAGCACCTCAGCTCCTGTCATCACCAAAGCCTGTGCACTGCCACTGACATTCATGAACGTGGCAAAGATTAGAGAATACACAAATGAAAATAGACAAAATGTGTAGACATTAATAAATCAGGCAATGTTATAAAAAAACAGAGGGAACAATTCTCCAAGAATCACAACTGGACAATTGCAGAAGATGACAGTATTTTGGGGCCATTTGAACTACATTTAGATTTACATTTAGACACCTCATCCATGTCAATAAGTTATTTTGAAGGTGTGCCAAAAGAAAACCTTTTCTTTTATCTAACCACAAACACAAGGACCTTAAGTTTGCTAGATGCCACTGGAACTTTGACTGGAGCTGGGTTCTCTGGTCAGATAAAAAAAAGTAGAGTTTTCTGGCATCAGACACGCAAGTTGGTTTTTTGTTACAGAATAGAACGTAATCCCCACTGTAAAGTATCATGATGTTTTTGAGTTGTTTTTTATACACATGAAATCATGGACTCAAATAAATACTAGGTAATTTTACTTGAAAATCTGTCTCTGCCAGAAAACCAAAACTGGGTCATGCTAAGATCTTCAAATTGGGCAATGTTCCAATCCACACTAAAATTAAAAAAAAAGTTTCTGACATAAAATCTGTGGGGTGAGCTGAAGAGGACAATCCAAATGAGAGGACCTTGGACCCTGAAGAATCTGGAAAGATTCTGTGTTGAGGAGAGTCTCAGATTGCTTGTGTTCTCAAATTGCTTTGTATTCTCTGCATTCTCCAACCAAGCATTACAGAAGATGATTCACTGCTGTTATGTTTGTGAATGAAGGTTCCATAAAGTATTAAGTGCAGGAGTGCCAACAATTAACACATGGCTTTGTTCAAATACTTTTTAACGGTTTTTGTTATCTTAGAGTAAATGAACATTCAGTTTCAGCCTGAATATATGCTAATGAAACACCAAGACATTTTTAATGAATTTATTTACACATCTTTATCAAGGGTGCCAATAATTATGAAGCTGACTTTATGCACTTACATTACAGAATAGACAATTTCTAGAATCTCACTCATACTACACTCACAAGGTATACAGTTTAAATAGCAGAGCATAGAATGATATAGAATTTTTTAAAATAAGTTTATTAGGAATATGCCTATCATGACTCATTATGGCCTATTCTGATTTCTTTAAAGTTAGTTTGGCTGACTACTGATTTTGTTTGAAGATGGCAGGCAGAAGCGTTTCGCCAAGCAGCGAAGCCATCTTCAAATGCAAGTTATTCTGATTTTCTGTGGTATTTTATCTGTTTTCTAGTCTTAAAGGTACACAAATAGCCTATAGTTTGCAATTTAGGTCCATCAATGACCATTTTACAGTTTTCAAAACACCAATCCATTAGCATGCATGGTAGTGGATTTTGAAGCTTTAGGCTTGTTTTGAGTAGCCAGTTGGCTAACAAACTTGCTGGCTAATGACCTAGTAGCTTAACTAGCAATAGGTTTTGTCAATCGTTAACTAATGATGAGGTAGCGCAATCTAATCATTGATCCGTTTGTTCGTGTTTTGAATGATTTCGCAGAATAATGAGGGTTATACGGTGCTTTTCTTTAAATTGCTAATGGTTGGATGGCTAGCTATTTAGATCTCTGTGTTCGCATGTATGAGTTGTTTCCCCTTTTCAGGGACTTGATCAGCGTACAAATCATTCATAAAGGCTTGTACAGAGAGAGAAGCTGTATACTGGAGAGAAAAACTGTTTTGTCAGCTAGGAAGTAAGAAAGTTAGGGTGTTGGTTCACCAGTTAGATCAGGGGTTTTTAAATCTTATTCGCAAAGGCTGTCGCTGCAGGTTTTCATTGGAAACACGCAGGAGCTCCCTGGATTTCCCGTAATCAGGAAAACAATTACTCATGAAAACCTGCATCCACCAATGGGTTAGTCATGCATGCTCAGTTATAGTATAAAATGTAACATTAGCTCATCATAATTTAAAACTAAGTAGAAGTAATTTGCTTGTGAGGTTGAGCACTTTCCTAACCTGGTTAGAATTTTAGTTTAATATTGTTGGATCTTTTAATCTCTTTACCTATTCTCCCTAAAAAAAAAGGAAAAAAATCATGACTTTGATTTTGTTTGTTGATATGACTATCCTTTTAAATTGGGCTACAGAAAAAGGTGGCACAACCTAAAAAAGAAATACAAGGTAAGTTCCAAGACAGACCTTAAGACTAATGTTTAATTAGTACTGTAATTAAAAAAAACAAAAATGTATCTCTTTTAAACCTTAGAGTGCATTTTAAACATAATTTAAATATTTAAAAATGCTTGAGTATAATTCAGCTAGGCAAAAGAAAGCAAACTAAGGTTAAATTACAAGTTTGCATTTATTTTAGGAATTGAAGTCTCCACCATCCAGGAGTGGGACTGACAACCATCACCAAGGATCATACCCCAATAATACCTGCTCTGTGGAGGTCCTGACCATTGAAGAACAGGGTGACAAAGAATGCAGAGAAACAGAACAACGGAGTGGAACTATATGGTCAGTGGAGCTGATAAAATGGACAAAGAATAAAATACAAAGAGGTGGACTTAAAGAAGTGGCTGGTCCATGTGGACGTGTAGGAATATTAACGTCATTTCATTGTAAATTAATTATTTAAATAATTACTGTATTATTATATGTAGATATATAAATAGTTTGACTGCTAGTGAATGACTAACTGTATATTTATTTATTAAATTGTGTAGTTGTGTATATCATTGTTCTGTTTGGTTAATGCAAGTTATCTGCAGTTGTGTGTGGTTTGTGTAGATTTTAATTTGATGCATGTGTTAATGTGTATGTCTTATTAAAATATTCAAAACAAATAAAACTGTATCTGTTTTTAAAAATCATTATTTCTCAAACTGGCAGCTAGAAGATTAATGAACCTTGTATGATGTGGAGAAAGGGTTTACTGCCCCCCTCCCCCCTCAGAGTGCTTAGAGGAAAGTTTACATTTGTAAATTTTAACTGTTCAAGAGCAGCAAGTATCGCTCGAATTCTTAAATTTCAGCGTTTGACCACAACTGTTGTCTATTTTGCTGTTTCATTCAGATCAAATAGAATTAAAATCACTCTGTAAACCATCAAAACAGGATCTTTATATTTATCATTCTGTCCAATTTCTATTGTGTACTCTAGAATTTATATCATGTCACGGTATATTCACTGGTTTACTTATTTCAGCAATCATACTTGAATTACATAATGAGTTAAAATAACCCAGGGAGATTTGATACATTTTTTGAGGGTTGGTCAGCAATATAGAGGCATTCAAAATCAAGTCAGAGAAAAAATCTGTAGCTCACCAAAGCTTTGTGCAATGCTTTTGTGTCTTTTAAATTTCTTCTACAAAAGTTTAAAATACCAGTTAAAATGATACTTGCAAGCTCACCTAAGATGTCCTCATTATGTAGCTATTAGGATACAGTTTTACACATTAATTAAAATGGTACTTACAATGCTCGTCTTGTGCTTTTCACCACTGGCAGTAATCTCCTCAGTCCTTCATCTGATGGTCTGTATTTCTTCAGCTCAAACTTCTCTAGTGTCTCTTCTGACATCAACAACACAAACACCAGAGCTGACCACTGTGTAGATGACAGTTTCTGTGTTGAGAGATCTCCTGAGTTCAGATATTCCTGAATGTTGCTTGAAAGAGAGCTGTCTTTCAGTTCACCCAGGCAGTGGAAGAGATTGATGCTCTTCTCAGAGTGTTTTGTCTTTTCAATCGTTCTTTTAATGTAGTCTACAATGTCTTTTAGGCTCTCTTCTTTGATGTCCATTTCTGGCTGTAGACTCTTAAGGAGCCTCTGATTGGACTCCAGGGAGAGGCCACAAAGGAAGCGGAGGAAAAGGTCCAGATGTCCATTTTCACTCTTCATGGCCTTACGCACTGCTGTCTTGAGGAGATCACCCAGTGTATGTTTAAACACCCACTTTATTTTCTCCATTATGGTTTGAAGGAGTGGGTTACATTCATGACTGAATGTGAGGAACACAAAGACGGCAGCAAGAAACTCCTGGAAACTCAAATGCACAAAGCTGAAAATCTTCTCATCCTTTTTAAAGATTTGTGTACAAACTCCAGAGTACACTACAGCTTCATCAACATCAATGCCACATTCTTTCAGATCCTTCTCATAAAATATGAGTTGTCCTTTTAGTAACTGAAGAAAGGCTAATTTTCCAAGCTTCAGTACACCCTCTACTCCCAGTCTGTCTCTCTCAGATGGTCGAACTGTACTGTCCTCATTTTGCATTGTGCTGTATTTCTCAGTCTTTTTTCTTGTTTGAAACAGCAGGAAACGTGTGTACATTTCTGTAAGAGTTGTAGGAGCATTTTTCATGTCTTTGTCATCCTTCAACATTTCCTGTAGCACAGTGGCTGAGATTGAACAGAAGACTGGTATATGACACAAAATGTGGAGACTTCTTGCTGTTTTAATGTGTGAAATAATTCTGCTGGGATCTTTATCCCTAATTCTCTTCCTGAAGTACTCCTCCTTCTGTGGATCATTAAATCCACGTATTTCTGTCACATGATGAATGTATTCGTGTGGAATCTGTTTGGCTGCTGCTGGTCGAGTGGTTATCCAGATGAGAGCAGAGGGAAGCAGCTCTCCTTTGATGAGGTTTGTTAATAGTTTATCAATGGTGCTCTCCTTTGTTACATTAGATAGTTTCTTTTGATTAAAATCTAGATTAAGTTTACTTTCATCCAGTCCATCTAATATAAAAACCACCTTACTCTTATCATTCAAGATCTCACTTACATCCGCATTACAGAACTCATCATGGAAGTAAAGTAGAAGATTCCAGAGGCTGTACTGTTCGTTTTTGATCACGTTCAGTTCTCGAAAGGGAAAAAACAGAACAAAATCTAAATCTGGGTTGCATTTGTCTTCAGCCCAGTCAAGAATAAACTTGTGTACAGAGGCTGTTTTTCCCACTCCTGCTATTCCCAGTGTAAGTACTTTAGTACCAAGCACATTTTGACTGGATTGTGTTTTGAAAATGTCACTGAATTTGATTGGTATTTCCTCTATTTTGGGATAAAAACATTCTATCCGTCTCACTTCATGCTCAGTGTTCACTCCTCCTGTGCAGCCTTCAATCACATAAAGTTCAGTGTAAATGTCTTTGAAAAGCAAATTACTCCCTTCTAGTGAAGTCCTGTCATACAGCTTTGCAAACTTTGCCACAAAATGTCTTTTCAGTGCATCTTTTACACCTCCATCTTCTTTAGCTGCTAAAAAGTAACAAGAAAACTAAATGTTATTCCATTTTTTAGTGACATGGGAGTAAGGATTGTATTATACAGACTTTATTCTATGTGTATTCATGTTTACTGCTGACTTATATCCGTAAAAAAACAAGGATATGTCAGAAAGGCAGTAATATTTTTTTTTTTTTACTAATAAGGCTTAACAGAAAGTCAAACTATGATACATACTACACAAATTTCTGATTAAATTGTATACCTATCATGTAAAATGTCTTCATTTTCTCTTTTGGTACAGCATAGAGGAAGGAAAGTCAAGTTATACAGTAATTGGTGGATTTGGTACACATTCTAACATGTTAAGTTTAAAAGGTATATTTTGAAGATATTTCAAATAGAAGCATAGACTTTTCTACATGGTCAATATATGCCAGAGTGAGGCCAAGATTGCTGGAATGTAAAGGCTTTTGAGCCTACAAGCTTACTCATGAACTATATTTTGCTTTCAATTGAAAACTCAAAATCCTGCATAGTCTATGACTGGCTTAATCCCTGTATAGAAAGCTGTCCCACAATATACAAACCCCAAATCACCCTATATGCAGAGAATAATGGCATATGTTAAGGACTTATATTATGGGCACCATGATGTTTACTTTTCAATCATTGCCATGCACTGGTGAAGATGATGATGATGTGTTCAGCTTACCTGCAGTAAGAGCACTAACTGAGACTCCAGTCTGAGCTGCAGTGGAGGAGGCTGCTGCACTCTTACCAGTGTCCTCTTCATTTCTGTCTCCATCTGAGAGAGTGAACATTAGTAATGAATAAGGGATACAAAACATCACTTATGATGCCTGTGCTGCCTGTCACTGCATAAAACAATAGAAACAGACGATTAAAACCGAAGTTAAGACGCTCTGGAGTTTATCTTAAAGTTAAGAAAATATTTAGGATATTTTTGGCAACTTAGGATGTTTCTGTAAAACCGTTTTCTTTTCTGCAAATAAGATAAGATTATAGCATTTCACTGCTAGTTGTAACGTGTATAACAGTGACAAATAAAACTTTGAACTTTGATTTAATCTTTGATGTGTTTAATGTTTTGACAGAGAAGACGACTGGAGGTTTTCTTTGAGAATGTATGGATCTAAGTAACAACTGAAACAGATCCCTACTACAACATTTGTATTATATTTGTATTATCTTAATCTGTAATTATATCAAATACCTCTGTGCGAAGAGTCAGCTCCAAAGTTCATATAAACTGGTCCGTTAAACTCATTTCCATGTAGAAGAGGTGCATTGACTGTCCCTCCATTCTGAGCTGTGAAGTTTTGGACTGGTTCATTCTGAGGTCTGGTGGTCTGGACTCGGCCAGTTTGATCTGTGTTCACATGAGGGCACAAAAGTGTTACCACAAAATTCCAGAAAGGATGTGAATCAGGATAGAAACAAAATCTCAGAACTAAACAAATTTAAACCAAAGGTTTTCTGTCAGCAAGCCTGCTTTGACATTACATTTCCAGCTCTGACGCTATGGTCCATACCACTATCGTAAGAACATCCAGTACCACATTGTGAAGCATTATAGTAAGACGAATACTATTCGTCTTTTCACTGGGTCTGAAAGAAGTGCTAGTGAACGTGTTGTGTTGTTAACAAATCATATAACTGTAAATCTTCTTAAGCCTTTTGGGTTCCAGCATAGCACACATGTTTCTTTATAAATAAACCAAATGAAAGTTGGCATTTTCCACTATGAACGTTTTTCATTCAAACGAGACCACCTGAATCTATTAGAGAAATGAGTACAGCATAAACAGATCTTATTAAAAAAATAAACTCCTCTTGATCAACAAATGAGCAGGACAGTGTAAAGAGTAAAGGAGAAAAGAAGTATATTATATTACCTTGTTTATCAGTTGTATCCTGCAACACTTCAGAATTATTTGCCATCTTGTATGACTGGAAATGAAAAAAGGATAATGCAGTCACGTTAATGGAGTTTTTTGATAACTGAAAAGATGAAGTAATATTTGGTGTAGGAGAGTAAATAGGATTCCGCATGTGAATAGTATAGTTGATGGTCTGTATCTACAAAAGATCATTTCTCATTTTTCATTTTTGATCTCTTAAATGGAGAAAACAGTAATGAATGTTCAACATATCATTGCTGTCTAAAGAAAAATATGTATCTCAAAAATAATAACTTTACTAGTGAGGGCAAAAACACACTTCATTTCTTTTTCTATATTTTTTTTGGATTTTTACCCAATTTTCTCCCCGAATATAGTTGTCTCCAATTCCACCCGCTAGTTAGGACTCCCCCAATCACACAATACTAATCAACGCTAGGAGGGTGAAGGCTAACACAGGCTTCCTCTGAGACCTGTGAAGCCAGCCACCGCATCTTTTCGAACTGCCGCTCACGCAACGTCATTGGACAGCTGAACACTTCATTTCTAATGTAAGTAATTTTCTGTTGTTCCATAAATAAAATAAAATAAACTGAAAATAGAATAAATTAAATAAAAATTAAGAAATAATAATAAAAGCCAATGTGAAAGGAGTTAAAGAAATATGTGAATGTGTACATATGCAGATATGAATATCTATACATTTGCAGGTCTGAGGACACACATAATGCAATAACTATTACATACAGAATATTACAGAATATTAAGAATACTTATAAAAATGACATCTAAACGGCTGTGCAAATAAACATTACGTTACAGAGTAGTAGCTGTAATACAGTAAAGAGGTTTGTTTGGTTTAGTTTAAGTTTAAGTGTGAAGTGACTGCTATGGTTAATGAGCTACAGCTCTTGGGGGGAAAAAGCCATTAGCATGTGTGGAAGTGGCTAGAAATGTCCAGTACGATAAGTGCTGTAATTTTGAGTGCACTTCATCACCCTGTAGTTGTAGATGTTCTGTATTGTTGGCAGATACATCCAGTGATCCTCTCTGATGTCCTGATTATGTGCTGGATTTTGGCTTGTTCTTGCACCATTGGCTATTACGCCCACTACAGTGATGTTATCTGCAAACCTCAAGATCTTCACAGTTGGTTCCATAGAGACACAGTCATTAGTGTAGAGACTGAAGAGAAGGGGTTAGAGCACACAATCTTGTGGTATTCCAGTACGGGGGTCTGGCGTGTGTTTTCCAAGCCGCACCTGCTGTCTACTGTTAATCAGGAAATTCATGATCCACTGGCAGATGAGATGTGCCACAGACAGCTGGGGCAATTTGATTTGCAGCAGCTGTGGCATTTTAGCATTTAATGCCAAGCTGAAGTCCACAAACAGAATTCTAACGTAGGTTCCAGGACTGTTGAATTGCAGGACCAAGTTGACCACATCATCAACAGACCTGTTAACTCTGTATGCAAACTGTAGCAGATCCAGCAGAGGGTTTGTAATGGCCTTCAGGTGATCTAGGACCTTCACGACTACAATGGAGAACAGTTCTCTGCTTGAGACTGAGTTCCTGCTTTCCTAGCTAGACTGAAAACTTTACAAATATGAAAGGGAAACACTACATCAATGATCAAGATTAGTTTTACCTTTTTCTGACTTTGTCTTCAGTCTTTAGAGAGAATCTGAAATGTCCATCTTCATCAAGATGACCAGGGTTAGTTTACAGAACTACAGAATATAAACATGTCACAATAGTGTAATTTCACAGTGTATGATAACTAGAACATTTGACTTACAATAGACACCAGGCCATTTACTTACTCTTTCTGTGCTTCAGCTTCATTTTCCTTGTCTAAAAGACATTTAACCAGGAAAAACAAAAAACAGTCAGAACACATTCCAGTCAACCTAAGTCAGTGAAGTACAACTGAAGTCCCACCAAATTTAACATGAAAAACATAATGCATTTCTTTCCTTTTTTGCATATTTCTGTGCCTATTGAAAATAAACACATGCAACACTTGCAAATGAACATAAAAATTCAAAATTTTTAAGTAGGGCTTCAACAAATAATCAGTAAAATTAAAATAATCAGAAATGTTGAAATGATCTGAACAGTGAACATTTTCACAACTTCTATATTAGTAATCCTGTGCATTACTTTTTATCAGTAGTGGTTTGACAGCAGGCAAAATGTATTTATTATGCTAAATGCTAACTAGTCATTAGCACCAAACAGATGACTGTTTGGGTGACTGTTCGGGTGCCTGCTGCACACCACGACAATGCCTGTTGATAGTCAGAATGCAAGATAAAGTCAATAAGTAGGTGTTTTTAACCTGCTTATGGAACAGTGCTGTGTTCTTTCATGCATTCAGTAACTGTCATTTGTGGTTATGTCAGGTAATGCCTGGAACACACAGAGCCAACAATGCAGCCTGTGTCTACAGCAGGAGTGAACCACAGAGCCAGTCTCCCAGTGCTTTGAGGTTCACATGGACAAATGTGAAGAAAGGTACTTAAAAAATAAACTGAGGTGACCACCTCATCATACACTGTGACTAACCATGAAACTGTGACTCCTTAACAACCCCTGTGAAATAACTTGCTAGGTATATATTAACCCACTAGCTGCGAAATAACTTGCTTGCTATATATAAACCCGCTAACTGTGAAATAATTTGCTAGCTATATATTAACCTGCTAGCTGTGAAATTAATTCCTAGTTATATATTAACCCGCTAGCTGCGAAATAACTTGCTAGCTATATATTAACCCGCTAGCTGTGAAATAACTTGCTAGCTATATATTAACCTGCTAGCTGTGAAACAACTTGCTAGCTATATATTAACCTGCTAGCTTTGAATGAACTTGCTAGCTATATTTTAACCCGCTGGCTGTGAAAGAACTTGTTAGCTATATATATTAACCTGCTAGCTGTGAAATAACTTGCTAGCTATATATTAACCTGCTAGCTGTGAAATAACTTGCTAGTTATAAGCTAACTTGCTAGCTGTGAAATAACTTGCTAGCTATATTTTAACCCGCTAACTTTGAAATAATATGCTAGCCATATATTAACCCGCTACCCGTGAAATAACATGCTAGCTATATATTAATCCGCTAGCTGTGAAATAACTTGCTAGCTATATATGAACTTGCTAGCTGTGAAATAACTTGCTAGCTATATTTTAACCTGCTTACTTTGAAATAACATGCTAGCTATATATTAACCTGCTAACTGTGAAATAACTTGCTAGCTATATATTAACCTGCTAGCTGTGAAATAATTGGCTAGCTATAAGCTAACTTGCTAGCTGTGAAATAACTTGCTAGCTATATATTAACCTGCTAGCTGTGAAATAACTCGCTAGCTATATATTAACCTGCTAGCTGTGAAATAATTGGCTAGCTATAAGCTAACTTGCTAGCTGTGAAATAACTTTTCACTGACCAGAGGTCAGTCAGAGTGATGTTTCTGAAATCTCCTTGTTCTCTTGTTGGTCACCTGCACATCCTCCGTATACCAACAGCATCTTTCGGGCATGGAAGCAACATTTATTTTCCTTTCTTTTTCTGCTGGCTAACTGGTTTGATTTCACTCATTTTTCTGTCTGTGTAATCACCCAAAACAAGTATGTCTGTCTGTGTTTGACTATTTTATATCTTAACCATACGTCAACACAAGTACGTCTTTCCCTCTCTCATGATTGACTGTAATTACGATTGGGAAAGAACAATTTTGTGACGTTTTTATACAATCACAGTTTTATTTTTTTAAAGTCCTGTTTCAGTGTCTTTTTTTCCTCTTTTACTTCTACGCTCCCTATTAACCCTCCACATTTTAAGCTACAGAAGCTGTTCTCACCAGGAGTGAGCAAAATACAAAACTTCTGAACCTGAGTAAAAGTAGAAATTCTTAAAGTACAATTATTCTGTTTGTTTTTTACTTGAGTTACAATTTTATAGAATTTTATGGTAAAATAAGAATCTTGTCGTGATGAATTAATATGACCATGGTTAATAAAGTAAAATCAACTAAGAAAGGGTAAAGTTCCATTTGAAATCAGATTGACTTTAAATGTATTTCATCAAATTATCGTAAGTACAAGTATTGAATTATTGCAGTTCTGTTAAGGAAGCCTGTGTGGCTGCAGGCATTAGAGTGAACTGTTCATGTCTGTAGCCACTCAGGTCTCTTTATTGGAAAATACTTCTCAGAATTTCTTTAATAACTTACCTTCACTTCTGATACTGAGTCATTTAAAAGCACAAATAGTGATCAACTTTTGATCAAGTAATATTTTACCAAGAGCATTTCTACTTTTACTCAAGTGCAGAAATTGTGTACTTTGTCCACCCTGCTGCTGGCTTACAAGCAGAGGCTAGGAAACAAACCCTGTCTGCATAAACAGGTATTTCTCAGGTTTGGAAAAAATGCCTTGACTGAATTTGGGAGGCTTGTCTGCTTATACAAATGCAGTTAGTCAACATAAACATGCCTATGTCTGTTTGTTATTAAATTTAGTATTTTAAACTTTGATTAAATGTGTCCTCTTCCTACAGTCATCCATCTGCTGCTTCTAGTTCTCGGCTGTTAAGGACTTACAGCTTGTCCCAGGTACTTTTATTTATAGTAATGTTATAGTGTAGCTCTCTGTAATGTTAGTATATGTTTCTTTACATATTGCTGTTGTACAAATGCAATAGGACTTTGAATGTTGAGTGTCATTGTGAAAACCAGCACATTGTTATTTACAGAAACACTCTTCTTCTTCTATGCTATTGCATCCACAACCCCTTTTTTCTTGTTTCTTTGTAGATTTATTTCTCACAGTGTCTGCTGTCTCCTATCTGGTGAGGATTTTACTCATTTTGCTTACTTTTTTCTTTATTTTAGATGCAACCATGAAGAATCCACAGTAACAGTCACGCTGCAGGTGACAAAGAAATTGACCAGAGACCTCCACATCTGTTAAGAGCCGAGTACATTTAACATTATTGGGTAGGGGTCAGATGTTCACTCTCTGTCTGCCTCTCTCTCTGTTCCACACATGCTCTATATATACATTCACTACTTCACATACTTTATGTGCACCTTACTTAAGCCTGTTTGCAAATTACATTACATCACTGCGTTGCTGTGGCACATACTGGAGGGCAGGAGGTGATTTTCATAAAAGGCACTGTCACAGGTTCTCAAAATGCCTATGGTTTACGTTGTTTATCGTTGCTAAATTAGTTCTAACTGAGAAACTTTTATCAGGTACCAAAGCTCGTTGTTCACTGGGGGAAAAATGCAAGACATTGACCAAAAACACCAGCAAAAAATAGATTTTGCACAGTTGATCTGTGGGTGTGCACAGGTGATAGATTTAAAAGGTACAAGCAACACCACCAACACAATCAGGATTAACAGTTAAACAAAAGACAGGTGAACAAACAAGTTGCTTATATCTGCTGCCTCAATAGCAGGGAAGTCTTTCAATTCAGTTGGAAATAAACGCTCCTCTTGAAAACATAAGGAACATCTGTCCAACATTTCTCTCGTAATATAGTCTAAACTAGCGTAGTATGGGCTTGCCTCCATCTTGTTTTCCACTTTACACTTCCTGCCCTCCATCTGGAATTTGCACGTCTTTCGAACCATGTGACTTTAGAGACTGTATTACAGACTGTAGTCCATCTGTTTCTCTGCATAATTTGTTTACCCTTTAACCCTGTTCTTCAATGGTCAAGACCCCATAGGACCCCCCAGAACATGTACTGTTTGGGTGGTGGATCATTCTTATCACTGCAGTAACACTGACATGATGGTCGTGTGTTAGTGTGTGTTGTGCTGGTCTGAGTGGATCAGACACAGCAGCGCTGCTGGAGTTTTTAAACACTGTGTCCACTCACTGTCCACTCTATTAGACACTCCTACCTTGTCAGTCCACCTTGTAGATGTAAAGTCAGAGACGATAGTTCATCTGCTGCTGCACAGTTTGTGTTGGTCATCCTCTAGTCCTTCATCAGTGGTCACAGGACGCTGCCCACAGGACGCTGTTGGCTGGATATTTCTGGTTGGTGGACTATTTTCAGTCCAGCAGTGACACTGCGGTGTTTAAAAACTCCAGCAGCACTGCTGTGTCTGATCCACTCAGACCAGCACAACAGACACTAACACACCACCACATCAGTGTTACTGCAGTACTGAGAATGATCCACCACCCAAATGTGGTGCTCTGTGAGGTCAATGGGGGTCCTGACCACTGAAGAACAGGGTAAAAGGGGGCTAACAAAGTATGCAGAGAAACAGATGGACTACAGTCTGTAATTGTAGAACTACAAAGTGCACCTATATTGGTGAACCTGATTAAATGGAAAATGAGTGAATACAAGGTAGCTGTAAATGACTGTGTGTGTGTGTGTGTGTGTGTGTGTAAAACAAAGCACAGTGGTGAGCTGCACAATTCAATTTCACGTGTATTTTTTCTTTAACACCTGTTTATCGGTATATGTTAGCTGTTCATTTACCTTTATGTACTGACTATTTCATTTTGTGAGTGTTGTAGGCATGTACTGTACATTTATGTAAGACAATTAAAGCAGTTGTTTCCAAATGATTTCTAGTGTTGTCACTGAAATTCATGCATGCATACAGGTGAAAACAGGTGAGCTTTAAGAATGTGTTACTTTACAAGGCAGAATACAATGCATACTAGCTTAATAGATGATGATGCACATTAAAACTGTGTCAGACTATTGATTGTTCAGCTGTGTTCACCTGTGCTGTACTGTATTCACTGGGGATTTGGGTCAGTTGGTTTTCTTTTTATTGTTGTCTGGATTCTGTTATGCTATTTCAGAATAGAAGTGAATGTTAGTCTACATCTGAGCAAATGCTATGCTTTTGGTTGAGGTACATGTAGTTAAATAGATATTTAGATTTACGC